TATGTAATACTCTTTTAATACTTTAAGAAATAAAAATTATAAAAAAAAATTAAAAAAAATTAAAAAAGAGATGGGGGAAGCAAGGCATTGGCAGGTAGGGGCCATGGTCCAGGTGACCTAGTAATTCTGCAGCTCAGGTGGGAATCGGCCCCAAGTGTTCTCATGCCCAGGACTCTCAGTGCTCTTCTCTACTTTAACTTGACCTTCCCAGTTTGCACCTGGGGCTTTGTTTAGGGATAAGCTTGAGGGCTTTCCAAAGTTGACATGATCAACAGGGAGCAGGCCTCTGAGAGGACTAGGTGTGGCCAAACCAGCCTGTTATGGAAACAGGGACCATGGGTGTCTGGTGAAAGGGGAGCAGTGGCCCAGGAGGTCAGACCTCTCAAGGTGATGGTGGGCTGGAGTGGAAGCCTCTGAGTTTGGCCTGACTTCTGCCTCATGTTCAGTTAGGAGCCTCCTGCAAATGATCAGTTTCCTCTCTCACATCATCACTCTTCCCAAGTGTCTGGTCCAGCATCAGGTTGTCACCAATACCAGGGACGGATCAAAGAGGATTGGAGCTGGAAAAGAGCCCCAGGGACCAATCCAAACAAGGGTTGTAGCCCATTTGTGAGTCAGAGATCAATTCATTGGTCATGACCAGCATTCATTAGGATAGGATAAGATAGGCTAGGCTAGGCTAGGATAGGAGTAAAATAGAACAGAGTAGAAAATATCCACATACATTGTTTATCTATATATATAAAAGCCCTAGCGACCGAATGACCATTCAACCAGTCACTATGACGTGCACTGACCACCAGGGGGCAGATGCTCAACACAGGAGCTGCCCTCTGGTGCTCAGTGTGCTCCCAAAGCCAACCTCCCGTGGCTGGCCAACTTCCTGCAGTCCCTCCCCCCCAGCCGGCTGGCCCCAATCGGCCCTGATCACTGGCTAGGCTGAGGGACCCCACCTGTAAACAAATTTGTGCACCGGGCCTCTAGTATAAGTATAAATTGCTTAGAGTTCTTTATAAATTTTTTGCTTGTTTTTATATACATGTATGTACTTGGTCACAGTGTAAAATATATTTATTAATGTGGATTGTGGCCAGTAAAGTTTGAAAGCCACTGATCTAGAAATAGAAAAGCCATTTTCTGCATGAGTGAGTGACAGAGCTGGGAGTAGAACCAGCCACCACACCATGCTCAGGTTCACATTAAAAACAAAACACACACAAAAAAAACCCTCTGGTTGCACTTGCCACCAATCTCTGCCATTCTCTAAGCACTTTGCAGACTTCTGCTTTTGAGTCTTTGTTCAAGCTGTTTCCTCTGCTTGAAAGACACTTCCTCCCATAGGCACTAGAAGAACACATTCTTATCTTTCAAGGTCATGTTTAAATTCAACCTTCTTGGGGCTGCTAAGGAACTAGCTTATTATTCTGAAAATGACAAATAAAGAATCAAACATTTATACAGTCTTTTCATACAAACTAAAGGGAAGTGTCTTCTTTATAGAAAAACTCCAGCTAATAAATGCAGAAGGAATGATAGAATTAGAAAACCACCATTTGGCAACCACCAATGAAAAAAAATTAATCTAATCAGCAATAAACAGATGCACCTGACTAATCAAATTTAACACCAATAAACGTAGGACAACCGAACATTGTGTGTTTCCTTCGAGATGTTGTGTGTCTCCTTCAGGACGCAATAGGAAGTGCCCAGCCCACCTATGGAATATTCCTGCCAAAAGAAATGGACCTTAAGTACCAGGTTTCAGAAAATTCAGAGGACAGAGGGACACCCACAGTGATTCATTCAGACAAGTCCACAGTGTAGGACATTCTGCAGGACAATTGGCCTGAGTTCTTCAACAGCATGAAAAAAAGAAAGAGGGAGTGGATATAGATTTAAAGAGACTTAGGAAATATACCAGTGCCTATGGGAGGAAGGGTCTTTTAAGTAGCGGAAACAGCTTGAACAAAGACTCGAAAGCAGAAGTCTGCGAAGTGCTTAGAGAATGGCAGAGATTGGTGGCAAGTGCAATCAGAGGTTTTTTGTTTTGTTTTGTTTTTAATGTGAACCTGAGCGTGGTGTGGTGGCTGGTTCTACTCCCAGCTCTGTCACTCACTCATACTATAAATGTAATGTATAGACCTTGTTTGGATCCTGATTCAAATAAGCCAACTGCAAAAAGTCCTTTTTGACAGTTGGAAAAATATGCACACGGATAGACATTAAATGATAGTAGGTAATTATTTTAATTAGTTCAGCTCTGATACAGTGTTGTGGTTATAGTTTTAAAATATGGTGGATAAGAACCAGGGTTGATAATTTTGAAGCTAGCCAATAGGTACATTTGGTTCATTACACTATTCTGTCTACATTTGTGTGTGTTTGGAATTTTCCATAATAGTTTTTTTTAATAAATTTGATTTATTCTGAGAGGCCCTCCTACATACTCCCTGCTGAGATTAACCTTTTCTTCTTACTGTTAAAACCTATTGATTTTACCTTCTAACATAGCATTAATCCTTGTCTCCATTATTTTTTTTTGCCTTCATACATTTTTATTTTTTACATATTTTTTAATTTTATTTTCTTGTTTAAAGTATTACAAATAGTAGTACATGGGGCTCCTTTTTTTCCCCCATTGACCTTCCCCGGCCTCTCCTACACCCCGGCACATGCCCTTACCCCACCCCCCCAGTGTCTTGTGTCCATTGTCCCTGTCTCCATTATTGTTACAGCCTTCTTTCTGGAGTGTGTATCAGTCTTCCATACCAGAAACTTGAGGGCAGAAAATGCATTTTTGTATATCTAGTGCCAAATATTTTTTTTCTTAATTTAATTTAAAAGATCTTAATTGAGCCCAGCTCGTGTCACTCAGTAATTGACTATTGTCCCATGAACCAGGAGATCACAGTTTGATTCCCGGTCAGGGCACATGCCAGGGTTTCAGGCTTAATCCCCAGTAAGAGGGGTGCAGGAGGAAGCCTATCAATGTATCTCTCTCATCATTGATGTTTCTTTCTCTGTCTCCCTTTCCCTTCCTCTCTGAAATTAATAAAAACATATTTTTTAAAATAAAGATAAATAAATAAATAAAAGATCTGAGTTGAATCCTTGGGCTCACATTGAGCTCCCACTGTGTCCATGGGCCAGGAGAAAGTTACCATTTCTAACAGTCCTGACTGGTACCATCAGAAAAATGACAGTACAGTAAGGGAAAGGAAGTCTACCTCCATAGTGACCAAGCACCCATTCACTCATTCATTCATTCATTCATTCATTTTGTTCTATTGAGTGACACTCTGAACCAGGTGCCATGGTGGATCATAGAGATATATTCCACTGTGCTGTGTCTCCCCCTGCTGCCCCACTTCCAGGAGTTCAGTCTAGTGAACAGAGCATCATCATACTACAAGTAACCAGAATGCCATTGTACTGGAAGGTAAGTACTGCACCACAGTTAAGAGGAGAGAGCCACAGGGTCTGGTGCAGGGGCAGTGAGCCCATCAGAGAAGGCTTCCTGGTCAGGAGCCACACCGCAAGTGGCTCTTCTGTGACCATCCCATTGGCTTCAGATCAAGAGGCTAGTAAAGGGACAAGTTGTGGAGCCAGGAACAGGCCCAAACAGGGCTGGTTGAAGAACCCAACGCTAATAATTTGCACCCCTCCAGAGCAATACTCTTTAAACATGTTTTACAATTTTATATCGAAGAGGGTGAGCACTGCTGGGGAAGAGTGAAGAAGGGGGGCACAGGGCAGCCTCCTCCTCGCCTCTATGGTTCCCAACAATCCTGCTCCAGCCCCAAACTTGCAAGCCCTACTCAGCAAAATTGAAGCCCTGTCCTTCCCCCAAAGTCCTTTTTCACAAAGCAATTTAATAACATGTCTGTTATTACTTAAGCATGTCCCTTAAGGCTCCCACCATCAATATATTCCTACCATTGACATCTAGCTTTCTCACCAAAGAAGTTCTGGTAAATACAACTTTAAAATATATATATTATTTCAGAGAGGAAGGGAGAGAAACATCAATGGTGGGACAGAAACATCAATGGTAAGAGAGAATCATAGATCGGCTGCCTCCTGCATGCCCCCACTGGGGATCAAGACCACAACCCATGCATGTGCCCTAACCGGGAACTGAACCATGACCTCCTGGTTCATAGGTCAATGCTCAACCACTAAGCAACACTGGCCGGGCTGGTGAATACAACTTTATCCATCCATTGCATTTCCAGGGATGTTTGAGCAAACCTAACAGGTTGGTGCATGGCAGTTGCCCAGTTAATCTGGATCTGGGGTTGTCACACCACTTCCTCCCCTTCCCATCCTCCCTCCGCAATAGTGCACATTCTAGAGCCCCAAGCTACCTCTATTCACAGGAACTTCTCTAGACACTCCTCTGGACTCCCCAACCAAAACAGACCTTCCTAGGTTAATCACCAAAGGACATCCTATAAATATAAAGATGGACACACAGAGAAGCCACAGTACACTAGCAAGTGCTTAATAAGTGTCTGAATAAATGGATTACTTAATTAGTGAGTTAGTAAGTACTAACTCCAAGGAGGTAGATCATGCCAGGAACACAAATGAATGAATGAATGAATGAATGAACAAATGAACAAGTAAAAGAAAGAAAGAAACTAGAAGCTTGGGTCCCTTTGACCAGCTAGCCTGGCTCCTCACCTGTCTCCCAGTTTGGGGCCACAGGACTCAGCCACAGCAGGAGTAGGAGAACCAGCCACATGGCTTCAGACATCAAGCAGAAATCAAGTGTTTCAAGGACCAAGGCTGAAGCTTTTAATACCCCATTCCAGTATGCTCATTTGGCATCTGCACCCCTGGGGAGGAGCCAGCTGACACCTGGGCAGAGGGTGGGGGGTTGTGGCACTAAGACAGTAGCACAGGTGTCCCAGCTGCTTGGAATAGTTTGCCCAAGCAGAGGTAATACAAGCAAAACAAACAAAAACCAAACACCCATTTTTCCATCTCTTGGTGTCTTCAGGCCTGTGAGAGAAGCAAAATCAGAGAAATCAGAGTGCTATTGCTGTCAAGTCTGACCCTCCCATTTTATAGATGAGGATACTGAGGCCCAAATAAGACAAGAGGCACCCATTTTCACACAGCTCGAACATTGTAAAGCTGAGGTGAGAGCTCCAATCTCCTTGCTCCCACTCCAGCATTCTTTCAACAAAATGCAGTGGAGGTGCCCAGCTGGCATGACTCATTGGTTGAGCATCAATCTATGAACCAGGAGGTCACAACTTAATTCTGGTCAGGGCACATGCTTGGGTTGCAGGCTTGCTCCCACTGGGGAGTGTGCAGGAGGCAGTTGATCAATGATTCTCTCTCATCCTTGATAATCTCCCTCTCCCTTTCTCTCTGAAATCAATAAAAATATTTTTTTAAAAAGGGAGGGCAGGCAGAAGAGGAGAGCTTGATGGCACTGCCCCCCTTTCCTTTCTTCTTGTCTTTAATGGAATATGATGCCTGGAGCTGTGGCAGCCATTCTATAATCAAAGCCTGGGCCCCAAAGACATCATCGAATTACTAAACCAGGGTCACCAATTGCCTACCTGGGGGCTTCTTGGTATGTGAGGGAAATAAACCTCCATTTGTCACTCTTAGTTGGAGTTTCTGTAACATGCAAAGCATAACCATACAGTGATCATCTTTGGAAGCACTTAGGCCAGGCTGGAAAACTACTCTCCGAGAAGCCGTGGTGGAGACTGTACTCTGCAGGAGGCTGGATACCATGACCCACAGAAGTCCCTTCCCGCTCAGAGATTCTGAGGCACTGTGAGATAGGAAATAATCTTTCTGCACCTCTGAGTGCAGAAACTCATAGCCTATGAATATTTGCTTCAGGGGACACAGGAAGATTCAGGGGTCTCAGGACTATAAATGCTTTCTTCACTTGGTCACATCTCTAAAACTCATCAATGGATTTAACAAGACTATTTAACATCCATTCTAACCCAACTCTGATGATTCAATAATGAACAAGACAGACACAGTTCTGCCTTCAAGGAGCTTCAGTCTAGTGGTAAAAGAGACATACTGTAACCGGCAATTATAATACAACTAGAGGCCCGGTGCATGAAAATTCGTGAACTCAAGGGGTGGGGCGGGGGGGTCCCTCAGCCCAGCCTGCACCCTCTCGCAGTCCAGGACCCCTCAGGGGATGTCTGACTGAGGGCTTCGGCCCACTCCTCAGGGGATTGGGCCTAAGCTGGCAGTCAGACATCCCTTTGGCAGCCCAGGAGCCTGTAGGGAGCAGGCCTAAGCCATTAGTCAGACATCCTTAGTGCTGCCGCGGAGGCGGGAGAGGCTCCCACCACCACCGCTGCGCTGGCTAGCCATGAGCTGGCTTCTGGCTGAGTGGCGCTCCTCTTGTGGAAGCGCACTGACCATCAAGGGGCAGCCCTGCATTGAGCGTCTGCCCCCTGGTGGTCAGTGTGCGTCATAGTGACCAGTCGTTCCCAATTGTTCCGCCATTAGGGTCAATTTGCATATCACCCTTTTATTATAATACAATATGACAATGACTGTGAGAGGGAGAGACAGAGGATGGGGACCTTCCAGGGGCCTGAGAGGTGGGGATGAAAACAGGTGGACTGAAAAGACTTTTCAGAAGTATCCTGCTGAGGGCAAAACTAAGAAGATGAGTGGGATTTATCCAGGTGGAGCCCTCGATAGGATGAGAGAATGCTCCAAGAAAAGGAACTGGCATGTTTAGAAGTTCCCATGCAATACATGTAATTCTCATCACTTATTTATTTTTATTTCTTTATAATTTTTATTGATTTCAGAGAGGAAGGGAGAGGGAGGGAGAGATTAAAACATCAATGATGAGAGAGAATCATTGATCAGCTGCCTCCTGCATGCCCCCTACTGGGGATCAAGCCCACAACCTGGCATATGCCCTTGACAGGAATCAAACCCAAGACCCTTTAGACCACAGACCAATGCTCTATCCACTGAGCAAAACCGACTAGTGCTCAGCATTTATTTTAACTACTGAATAATATTGCACTAAGATAGGAATGTAAAATGGTGCAGTTGCTACAAAAACAATATGATGGTTCCTCAAGTAATTAAAAACAAAATTGCCATGTGACCCAGAAATTCAACATTTAGGTATGTATATACCAAAATAATTGAAAGCAGGGAATGAACAGATATTTGTACAGCCATGTTCATAGCGGCATTATTTATAATAGCCAAAAGGTGAAAGCATCCCAAGTATCTAATGGATAACCTAAGTATGAAAAGATAAACAAAATGTGGTACATGCATACAATGAAATATTATTCAGGTATAAAAATACGGAAATTTTGGTTGTTATAAATAGGAAGGAATATCTCAGCTGTGGAGGGCCCCCTGAAGAACAAGGGAATCCCAGCCCCATAAGAGCAAGGGAATCCCAGCCCATACCAGTTTCCCAGCCTAGATTTCCAGTACCAGGAATAGAAGTCCCATAATTTCTGGCTGTGAAAACCAGGGGGAACTGTGGCTGAATGAGATCCAGGTGTTCCTCTTAAAGGACTCACACACAGACTTACTTAGACTCACTCATTCTCAGCTCCAATGCTGGGCAGCAGCTCAAAAGGCCAGGAACATATGGGAAGAAACTGAATTGTCTAGCTTTAGGGTGAGAGCTGGAGGGGCAGCTTTCTTCCAGATGGAAGTGCTGATGGAGGCCGTTGTTCCTTTACTGAGCCCTTCCCTTGTGGGTGCAAGCAGATGTGATATCTGAGTCTCCATCACCCCACCCTGATGATTACCTGAGACCCTGTCACAGCCAAGGGCATACCTGTACCTCTTGCTAAGTGGTCCCAAGTCTGGCATGAGTGGCAATCAGTGCTGGTTTGCAGCTTTATCTCTCTCCGGCACTTTTAAGCCCAGCACAAGAAGTAGCTCATGCCAGGTAGCCCCAGAGTGCACAGGTGGCTGTTGACCTTGGCCTGCACCTCCCAGGAGGCCCAGAGCCAGCTGATGGAGAGCTTCAGACCACCATTCAATCACCTTCACAAATAACATACCAGCAGACTCACTGGCACCAGAGTCCCACTGAAGAGAGTCCTGCTCCATGGGATCAGACTCTGCACAGCAGCTTCTCCACTGTAGTTGCAGCCAGTCCTCACAGCCCATCGACCTGGGGATAAACCCCTCCCATTGACATGCCAACAGCAATCAAAACTCACTGCCCTACAGGATGCCTACTACAGAAGGCCATTCTGCCAAGACTGGGAGATGTAAGTGCTCTACCTAATAGAAACAAATACAGGGAGTCAGCCAAAATGAGGAGACAAAGAAACATGTCCCAAATGAAAGAACAGAACAAAACTCCAGAAAAAGAACTAAACAGACCCTGGCTGGGTAGCTCAGTTGGTTGGAACGTCGTCCCAATGCACCAAGTTTGTGGGTTTGATCCCTAATCAGGGCACATACAGGAATCAACTGGTGAGTGCATGGGTGAGTGAAACAACAAATTTATCTCTCTCTCTCTCACATCAATCAATTAAAAAATGTTTATAAAAATAAAAATAAAAAGGGACTAAACAAAACAGAGATAAGCAATCTATCAAATGCAGAGTTCAAAACACTGGTTATAAGGATGCTCAATGAACTTAGGGGAAGAGTAGATGAACTCAGTGAGAACTTCAACAAAGAGATACATAGGAAACATAAAAATGGAGATAGAAACATAAAAAATAACCAGTCAAAAGTGAAAACTATAAAACGGAAGTAAAGAATACATTAGAGGGAATAAATAGATTAGATGAAGCAGAGGATCAGGTCAGAGATCTGGAAGATAAGGAAGCAGAAAACACCCAATCAGAAAAGAAAAAAGATTTTTTTAAAAATGAGGATAGTTTAAGGGGCCACTGGGACATCAACTTATCTTGTGCAGCCCTAACCGGTTTGGCTCAGTGGAGAGAGCGTCAGCCTGCGGACTCAAGGGTCCCAGGTTCGATTCTGGTCAAGGGCATGTGCCTTGGTTGTGGGCACATCCCCAGTGGGGAGTGTGCAGGAGGCGGCTGATCGATGTTTCTCTCTCATCGATGTTTCTAGCTCTCTATCCCTCTCCCTTCCTCTCTGTAAAAAATCAATAAAAAAAAAAAACTTATCTTGTGCAGAAGAATGTTTTGGTGGTATTTTAAAGCAATAGCTGTCGTAATTGCCCTTTAATATCTACATACTTTCCTACATTTCCTCTGCATTTCAAGGGAAAGAATTTTTTTCCTAAAACCAAACCAAACCGGTAGTCGGGGAGAGACCAAGATGGCGGCATAGGTAAACACCGGAGACTGCTGCCGCAAACAACCACTTCAAAAATACAACTAAAAGACGGAACGGACATCACCCAGAACCACAGGAAGGCTGGCTGAGGAGAGACTCTTCAACTAGAAGGAAAAATAACAGCACACCGAGGCTCAGAGGAGGCGCAGTGTGGAAAAAACTCAGGTGCGGAGGTGCGCGCGCAAAGCGGGCTGGTGGCTGAGAGCGCGGTTGTCGTTTTCGGTCAGGGGGGAGTCTCAGACTCTGAGCTCCAGATACGGGCGAATCGCTGGGGACTCGGACCCAAACGGGAGAAGCGGGAGTGTCTGGCATCAGTTGGAAGGCAGCTTTCTCTCCGAGGTTTGCAGCGGTTCCTGGGGTTCTGAGAAGCAGAGCCTCTGGGAACAGGACTGAGGGCACCATAACGGCTCCCTCCGCCCGCCCTGTTGAGCCCGCCCCGCCCAAGCCCTGCGCAGAGCCATTTGCCGGATCGCCTCAGGC